AAATGTAGATTTGTCTGAACGCAGACACTTTACCTCGGTCCATTTTAAATGAGCTTTGGCTCAGAGAAAACTGCAAGGTTTCTTGATCAAAGTCACATATGGCTGCTTCTCTGTATGATGGAGTTTTCCATGACAGAATCATGTCTGTTTTTAATGCATTGCTGACTGAGTGAAGATCACCACATCCAATATGGATTTTAAGCTTTGTCCCTCAATCATCTGTTGCCAATTAACTGGATAAGTTGCTAATTGCTTCTCCGGCTGTTCTTTTAATGGGGCATTCGTGAATAAGCCAGGATTCAGGATTTCCGAGTTCCCATATGGAATTTGATGTGGAATGCCCACTCAGCTTTTATTTCTCATTAGGAAAGTCGGCAGAGCCCACCAACCCTGAGTTAGCAATCCAAGATGGAGTTGAACGTAAACAGTAGTAAAACTTTCTTTTTTTTGTTTTTACATTATTTTGGAATTGGGTTTGTACTTTAAAATTATTAGCAAACATAAATTTTTAATGTTTGTGTGACTTTTTTTTTCAGTCCAAGAGGTCAGTTGCAGATCTGCTCCTTTTGCTCTGTCAACAGATAAAAATAGTCTTGTACATTGTTCTTCACACAGAAGGTCAAACAACACATGTACACAAATACAAGTAATGAGTGGGAGCTCGGGATGTTGGCAGCTAATTTGCTAAATAACAGGAAAAACTGATCTAGTCAAAACGACAGAAAATCCTCGGAAAACATTAAAAAGTGAACAGAATTTAAATGGAAAAATTTTAGCATTTTTCATATAAATAATTTTGTCTATGAAAACAATAATTTTCCTTGTTAATAAAATCATGTTTTAATCCTCACTAAAAGTGTGACACATCTTAAACCATTGCAAACACACACTGAGTGAGATTGTTTTGGCTCTGTGAGTTCAGCAGTGCTATCAGCGGTGACCTTCTTTTCTGGGAGCTTCCACATGAAGAATGTGGTCACACCTGGCCTCGGCTGCTTGGCTCTAATCCAGTTTATTCCAGCGAAGCTGATATACAACTGCTTTGTTTTATTTTTTGTTTGTTTTTTAAAACATCAAAATACTGCAACACAGCCTTGTTACCATGGTTGTTACTTGCTTTAATCTGTTCAACTGCCATCGGAAGTGTGGTGAACTGGAAGTGGTCAGTGTCCCTGTATCCCAGCTCAACCAGTAACTGCCGTTGTACATGAATAAAATAAGAAAAACAGGCTTAACTGACTCGTAATTCTGGTACTGACTAGATAGTGCAGCAGCGTTTAAACATGTAGTCCATTAATCGCGTACATCTCTACTCATAACTGAAGGAGTGTAAACTGTTTTGATTATTGTCTGTCTGCCAGTTTGTGGCTTGTATCCACTTCCAGGTGTTAAGGGCATTTCCACAGCATTTTCCTTTTGCTCTGTTGTGTTTGCAGCCAGAGAAGTCATTACCAGGGAGCTGCCTGTATGACCTTGTTGCTGTCGTGGTGCATCATGGATCTGGGTGAGTAGTTTAACATTGTTGAGTCTGGCTTTCCTGATTTGTTAGATGGCGTAAAATGCAGTAATTACACAGCTTTCTTAGTCAAGAAGCGTCCATGTTTAGAGATCATGAATCAAAGCTATAATTAATAACTGATTTAACTTATTATAACTACATATAATTATATAACTAATTATAGTTATATAATATAACTAATTATTTCCTCTGGATAAAAGGGCCAGCTTGATCCATGTTTTTTTTTTTTGGTTTTTTTTGTACAAGTGTATTTTTTGTGTTGTAGAAGAATAAGGTACTGAATCCTAGCATGCAATCAAGACTGGGTTATGGATCTGTGCATTATTATCTGCCAGCTTTGAGTGACTGTATAGCCAGATCACATCCGCTTTGTGAAAGCTGCAGTTTAAAAATTCATGTAGCTGCTAAAAGGCATTAGGCTGCAAGTCCTTGAAAACACATTTAGATTCAAACAGAATCAAAGTGCTTTTGTCTTTGGCCGCTAGGTGGCAGTGTTGCACTGCTGCTATATTGTCAAGCTGAATTCTCCCCTCTTGCTTCAGCAACGATAGATGAAGTCTTACATGAAAGCAGGCAGCAGAATATGACGTGTGTTTGTGTTCACAGGGTTGGGTCGGGGCATTATACAGCGTACGGCAGCCATGAGGGTCACTGGTACCACTTCAACGACAGCACAGTGACTCTGACCAATGAGGATACAGTGAGGAAGGCCAAAGCCTACATCCTCTTCTACGTAGAGAGGACTGGTCAGGTGCCCTCTGACACAAGCGCATCAAACAGCACAGGCACGAATAAGCCTGCCGTGGACGCTGCAGCTGTGGACAATGTTTCTCCAGAAATCGTTTCTCAGGACACAGTCGTAGCCGATACGGTAGCTACAGATATGGATTTTGCAGACGCAGCATCGTCACACGGGGACGTCGCGGGCAAGAAAGAGGAGGTAGATGTGAACAAAGACATGGCTACACTGGCTGAGGGTGACACAGTATCAGTGAAAGCTGCAGCAGATGCAGATACCTCAGACAAGGCTGCAACAGAAGAATCTCACCAAGCTCTACAAACTGTTGCACAATAAATAATTCTTTGAGATTTCACTGCCTCAGACCAGCTCGTGACTTTTGTTTCGACTTCACCTCAATCACATTTGTCACCGTGCTTGATTATAATTTTCACATAACATTCACATTTTCACTCTTGTGTTATGATTTGTTTGAAAGCGTCATGTTTTAACTTGCTGCTTAATTTGTTTAGTGGGACTTTTTGCATGTATTCTCTCGATGATGTGCCCTCATACCGAGGTAGACTTCTCCATATCCAATAGATTCCAAAGGTGATCGTTTAAAGTTTAACGTAATGAAGCTTTAGCCTTGGAAAACCTCAGTTGGTCCAATGTTTAGCCTAGACTGAAGAGATTCATTGTCAAGAACACTGTGTAATATTTGGCATTTCTATTGTTTTTAAAGTTTCAGATGTCATATTTTTCACCTTAAGAGCCCAGTAGTTCTGTTTTCCAGTCATTAGAGGATATTTTAAGATTTAGAATGCAATGACTGACTGGTGCTCATTAGGGCTTTAGAAAGTTGTTTTAACTTCTTGACCAGAACCAATGTCAAAAAAAAAAAAAAAAAAAAAAGTGATCATTCTCAAAGTTTGCCTGTACTGATGCTGGAGTATCATGTAACATTTATGTTGATTTGAAATGGCCATACATGGGGACCTGAAGTGAAATTCTCTTCAAATGTGTACCAGGCAACATGAACATGACAGAATACAATGGAGAACATTTTATTAAGATGTTTGTGTTGGGCTGTTTTTATCATCGACGGCAACCGGCCGACCCGCTGCAGTAAAAGGCAAACAAGACGCCATGGATCACGTTAGGTGGTGGTTACTGCACTGTCACAAGGAAAGACGGTAAGACCAAAACTAATAAAGTGTGGTTCCAAGTTAAGATTTTACAGGATTGAATATTGAAGAAAAACATGTATAGAAATCTGTTCATTAGTCAGGAGTAGGGATATTAACCTAGCGAGCAGCTCTGGAGGAATTAAAGAACTGCATCACTAATGTTTCTACAAAAGCCTCTATTTTTAAGCTTATACTGGAAATCTATTTTCTAAACAGGTTCATGTACTTTATGCAAATTAAACGTCACCAAACTATTGATGCATATGTTAGGAACTGTTTTTTTCCTTTTGTGTGTGTGTGTACAGTAGACACATGCATACTAAAATATATTTCATGTGTATTTCCAGTATACAACTGTCTCAACACCCTTATTATGCCTTGTAATGGTTAGCTGGCTTTGATATGACCCAAGTAGGACTTCTAAAATGAGAGCCTTTCTGTTGTCTTCCCACACAAACACACACACACACACTCGCAGAGTCACCCTCCCCCCGGCACACGTGCCACCCAGTGAGCCGTCTCACTCTGGCAGGAACAGGCACTCCTGTATGCTGAGGAGCAGCTGCTCTTCATCGCCTGCACACAGGTGGCTGTGGTTTGTTATTCTGTCCCCATCAGTGATACAAGTGCCCCCCCTGTTTTATTTTTTCACATTTTTTTGGTTATATCACAAACGTGGAAAAAACAACGTTGGAGATCTTGTAAGGGGCATCGTGACACGGTGACGCAGAGTACAGAATGTGATCCGCCTTCCAGCAGTGGAATTTCCCAGTGTCCTGCTTTTTTATAGAGATCGCCGATAAGGAGTGACGTAGGAAAAGCTGGCAAGGAAGTGTGGAGTGATGACATGAGCTGAATGGTATTTTGCATTTCGCCAACTCGGTACGTCCTCTGCGAGCCAACTGAACAAACACACTCTGAGTTGTAGTACTGTCTGTTCCTTGAGGCAAAGTCCTGTGTAACACGGCTCGTGACTTTCACTCACATGAAGCGTTTTCCACGTTATGTGGCTCTCTGATGGTCTTGATCACAATGCAGGGAATGCAGATCCCTTTAAGTACATTAAATACAGGTTTTTTTAAACATTGGTACATTTTGCAAAGAATCATTTAATGTAAAAATTTGAGACTGATATATCATCCCATTATTTTTTCACTACCTCTGTTTTTAAAAGTATCACAGAATTTTTTCATAATTCTTAAGGTGTTTTAGGTTTGTTTTTTCCCTTCAACTTGACCCCTAACCGTAGTTGTTGCACGGGTGTTTCTGCACTACCCAGTGAAGGTGTTTCTCTTTTTTTATGTCTCTTAGTGTGTATCTGAGAACTAGGCCAGGACAGTGTAAACATCTGGCTGAATCCAGCACTTGCTGCCTGTTGAGAGCCATGACAGATGGAAAGGGAGCGTATGGCTCAAACACTTCCATCTTTGACTGCACAGCAGTTGTCTTCCCAAAATAGCCCGTGCTCTACGGCCTTATATGTGCAGGCCTGTGTGGTGTGCCTGAGGGGGCATCATGTATCTAGGCCACACAATACGGGCTGTGGGCTCATTGTTGCTGCTTACCAGCAGGCCTACCACTGCCCCAGGGACGAAGCCTATCTCTATGTCTCAGGACAACACACCATGCATCTCATTCAGCTCAACCGTGAGTGTCTCCTTCACCTTTTCTCCTTCCTGGACAAGGACAGTCGGAAGAGTTTGTCCCTCACCTGTCATCAGCTGCGTGAGGTCTTCCTGGACCCCTGTCTCTGGAATCTACTCCACTTCAGCTCCCCTTGTCAGCTCAGGAAGGACAACTTTGTGCTGGGACCCTCGTTGCGTTACTTAACTATTAGTTGGTACTCCAGCATGGTCCTGAAAGTGTGCAACATCGAGGACTGGTTGAAGAGCTCGTTTCAGAAGAACATCTGCAGTAAACACGAAAGCCTGGTCAGCACGTTCCTGGCACATGTCTGCTATATGTGAGTGTTTGTGTGTGGCTCTCCCCTGCTGTGTTGTGTGATCAGAATGAAAACTGACAGAAGAGGAGAGAGGACACTGTAATATCCTGTAATAATACCTCAAGCACTGACTTTTAAACACCTTAAAAGTAGAGTAGAATTAACATGACATTGGCACAGCCTGTGCAGCTTGTGTTCATCTTGACACTGGCACGAGAACAAATTGCGTCTCTCTTTATGTGTCTTGAGGATGCTCACACAATTTGGGGGAGGGGATGTTGCTTTCAGGGTCATTTACACCCACATCAGGGAACCAAATGGTTTTCATTTAAAGGCACGTCGCTCAGTCTAACTGCCATGTTTAGCTGCAGGCAGCATGGAACATGATCATTAGAAACAGATGGCGTATCCGCAACTGGCTGTGGAGACAGAAAAATGACACATCTGTGGGACACAAGACTGATTCTATTAACTAACATAACTGTGGTCACATATCAAATTATATTTAATGAATGACGTGACAGTTGGACTTGATAGGTCGCTGAAAAGTAGCCGTTTTGGCTTTTGGCCTTGTGTGCGTGGCCGGGTCCAGGCATGAATCGTCCCGGAGAGGCGTAATGAGGTCTCTGGATAATTTCTTCAAGGCAGCCAGTAATAACAGTCGATGCGAGGGAGCTTGGCCACCACAGCTGGCCGGGACAAGAGGAAGGGAAAAGGGGCAGTCTCAGTGGCGTGTGTACAACCCTGTGAGGACTTCCTGTATTGTGAAATTTGAGATTTGTGATGTGAGAGCTGTGAGATGAGTCAGAGTTTAGAACCACCCACTTCGTCTGAGGCTTGCATCTCTGTGTCCTTAAGGCACACTCTCTGCATACTGATAAACCCTCCCAAATTGTCAGAGGAAAGGAAGCGCACGTGACAAAGTGGGAGGGAACACAGAGGCTGTGGGGGTGATAAAGAGTGACTTGGCTCCAGACCCTCCCAGTCAGCTGCATAGTGGAGATTTATGCAGGCAGGTGGAGCCTACAATTGGCTCTTTGTTGCCGTCAGAGGAATGAACATGTGCTCTGTCTGTGCCTGCCTCTTCCTGGATAAGACTCCACGCAAACTCTGACGCCAACCTCGTGTCTATATTCTCTTCTTTTTTTTTTATCTACATGGAAAAAACTATAAAACATAGCATGTCTTCAGGCCTCTTTTGGAGTGTACTTTCAGTGTAATACTCTGCAGAGCCAGAAAACTACAGTAAATCAATTTTCTTAAGGTCACAGTATTAGAATTATACAAGATTAATTAACATGCCTGATTTGCAGTATAGTGTGGGCTGCGCAGTGGGTGGCACAAGAAGCTTTGGCATGAGACTGGTTAAACATTTCTGAGTAGTTTTACTCCGATCTTTACTGCGCACCATTTGGATAAACTGATGCTTTCTCTTATATAACGAGAGCATGCGTGACTTTTGCTTATGAAGTGCTTAAGAGATTTATCTGATAGCTGCTTTGGAAAATATTTACTACTAAATCTAGAAAATGGAAGGTTCCAGCAATGTTTTAGGCTTTTTTTGACGCAAACCTTTCCCCTCAAACGACTGAAGGACACGAACAGTAAATGTACACTACGTCTCAGTTCCTTTTAGAGCTCACTGGATAATTTGACCAGACAAATTAACCGTTAGGAAACCAAACGGCTCATTACAGGCATGATTACAGGTTGGTGGTGTGGTGCTCTGCTTGTGCTCAACATAGACCAGTCTGCTCTTGCTGCTGTTTCTTTTAATGGGAACTACATCATGTCTCAAACATAAATTAAAGGCATTAAAAAAATTCTGAACATTTTAGGCACACACTGCTAGGTGGAAGCACTTATATTTGCCCTCGCTACTTTGAAAAGATCAAGGTTTTTGCATTTCTTTTCTTTTTTTCATTCAGCTGCTACGTTCCTACAGTTGGCGAACATATGAAATATTATGGGAATGAATTTGAAAACTAGCTTACAGACGGAACAAACAAAGAAAGCCATTAAAAAGAGATTTTTTTCCACTTAAAAAAAACAAGGTGCTATGAGGCGGTGCTTTAATGCACCAACAACTAAATGCCTGTATGTATGTAAGTGCACATATTCTATGTGTGTGTGCAAGACACATTCAGATAAGTGGGTGTGTAAATATTGGAACAACACACAAAAGAGTCTGCGCACAGTGGAAGTTCCATGAGAGGGCGGATTATGTAATGGGTTTAAAAAAATACTACTCCTCTTATCTCTTGCTTCTATCCACTTCCTATCCTATGTCATTAAAAAAGACAAACGAGTCTCTAAATGGAACTGTTTCTTTTTAGTGCACTGCTCGACTTCCTCAATATTTTGTTCATGTCAATAGCGTCCGATCACATGCTCTGTTAAAGTCTCACTCTGAGCCCATGCAACAATGCAGCAGGGCACATGGATCGACTGCATGCTCCGAGGTTACTGGGGCACTGCCCTCAACACTCGCAGGCAGCTGGAATATGTCGGGCTCACATGTGGTGAAGTGGTAAGATTATGTAAGTCTTTATGTAATCTGCATCTGTCAACACGAATGACACTCACTATCCCTTGCCATCCCGGTGCCTGTCTACCAGCTCTGGCCTGCCGCTAGGTTGCAGTGCACTGAATGACAATCCAGCAGTGCATGCATTTCACAGAAACACTTGACATTTTGTTTTCAGAAGCGGTTTTCTAATTAAAATTGTTGTCGGCTCTTTTTTCTTCACTTACTCATAAAAGCTTTTTAAAGAAAGGAAGCACACATGGCCCAGTGGGACTCGGTGTACACAGACGGTCTAGGTATTTAACAGCTCTGTCATTAAACACATCATGTGTCCATCTCGCACTATATATATATATATATCCCAAGGCATTATGAGTAAAGATGACACAGTACAGGTTTTGTACTCTATGTGTGAAAAGTGAAAACCTGCCTCAGTTAACCGACATGTCTTACGGATGTCTCTACCACAGGTGCCCCAACTTGCTGTCGCTAACCATGTCTGGCTGTGGACACATCACTGACCGGGATGTGATTTCTGTGCTGCAGTGCTGCAGGAAGCTACGCTACCTCCACCTGGAGAACTGCGTCCGCATTACTGACTGCAGCCTGGAGGGCGTGGTGGCTCACGGAGACAATCTGGAGGAGGTGAAGGTGGACTTTTGTAGGAATATCACTCAGGCAGGGCTGCAGCACTGTAAGGAGATGAAGCCAGCCCTTCAACTGACTGCTGAGAGGAGCGCTGACTTGATCCCCGACAGCAAGCCTGAGGAGAGGGTACCAATCAGGAGGACACTGCAGAAGGTCCTGCAGAATTCCTGATGGTAGCGGCTCACCTCCACACTAACCGGGACCATAAAGGAGCATTCCTGTAACTTACTGTTTAATGACTCTACTGTGATGTTTTGTATGATTTGTATTTAATTTCACTTTAAATTTTCTATAAATTTCTTTTAAATCTTGAAGAAATAGTTTGACATTTTTGGAAAAACGTGTAGTAAAGATGAAGATGCCACCAAGAGCTACACAAACTAGAAACAGGAGGGAGCAGATCGATTCTATCAAAAGGTTAAAAAAAAAGACATTTAGCAACTGCAGAAACACAAACTGTTTTCACACCGCAGCCCTGAACTTTTGTTGATTTTGAGAATGTGACAACACAAATGGATAGACATAGCTGGACTAGACACAAAACAATCTTTGACCTGCCAGCTCGCTTGTACAAAGTCTGTGCAACGTTCGATTGGGTCAGTCTGTGCCCGTGTGAGAGCAGCTGCAGGTATCAGTCCCGTGTATCCATGGCCTTTGCTCTGCTCTCTGCACTCTGCTCTCTCTATCCAGATAGTTCACCTGCCAAACACGCTAAACCGAACACAGTAGTGTCTGAGGCAATCTCAAGCTATGTCCCAAGTTGTTTTCCTGACATTGTCCAGAGTTCCCATGTGTCAAATAATGACAAAATGACAAAATTTGAGTTTGCATAGGGGGTCACGTGACCTGTCTCTTGGCCAGGACTAGTTGACAGGCAACAAATGGAAACTTCAGGAAGTTTCTTCTTCCAGCAAAGTAGCTGCTGTCACACTGAATGACAGATCTTCTTTTGCCTTGTCTTATTTCCAGCACAGGCATAGGAGTGTAATCAATCATCTCTGTGTATCTCCAAATGATTGAATAGTCATTTTCCCTAAATGTCAAACTATTCCTTTAATAGCATTTGATGGTTTGATTACATTTTTTACAACCACTCCAGCATTAAAAAGTAAAATACATTAAAAACCCTCAAACACGTGTGTGGTCGTGATCTCCATCCAGAGAGGAAGGATTCTCCCAAGGAAAAATGCCTTAAGCCTGAGTTGTCATCTTACGTAATAGTGACAAAATTAGGCTGAACAGGCGTGTCTGTAAATACCATGTGACAGATTTATGACAGGTGACTGCGGCAGCAGGGTACTCCTTAATCGCTAGTTTCCGACACCCAGTTTTCCAGTTTTTAATTAACCGAAGCAGTTCAAGTCGAGTGAATTTGATATGATACAAAGATAAGATGTAAACCTCCAAAGCTTAAGCAATTAAACGTCATCATCTAAAATCATGTGAACTTCACAGAAAACTGGCTTTTTTGGAGATTAGGAACTTGTTAAACATACAGCTTTTGTACTGAAAATTAACCTTGAAAGGCGATGCAGGCACCCCAAATTGTCTGATTTCTTGCAAGCCATCAGTCTACACCTAGGTGGTTTGGTAACAAACTGATATTACACTAATTGATGCATTATTACCATAATACTGTACTGTAGGAAAGCAGAAAATGGTGAGAAAAAGGCAGGCAACAAAAGGAAGACAGACTGGTTGATCGAGAGTTTCATGTTACAGAAAGACTGTGACTTAAAACACAGAAAGAAAAGAACTAGATGGTAAGCTCCAACAGGGGAAAGACCTGAACTTAAACCCTATCAGGCTGGTTTGGGATTAACTGAATGGGCAGAAGAGTGAAAGAAAAACACTTGTGGGAACCTCTGCAACAGTTTTGAGGGGGAAGAAAAAACTTTCCACGTAGTGTTTTATTTCCATAGTCATAAGGCTGAGTGAGTGCAAATATTGAATGTTATTTATGAGACACACAGATTATGGGGGATTATGCTAAATTAAAGAGTGTATATGTATATTTGTGTATATAGTATATGAGTTTGACAAGAACATCTGAAAAGCACACAACCCACTAGAGTTGTCCTTATCTAATGATTCCTATTTTCTTTTTGTTTGGCCATGCAAAACTGATTAAGCAGTGTAATGTGGTCCATGTGGTTTGGACTACAACAGTGGCTCTCAGACCACAGAATCCTGGACTCAGTGCAGCTGGGACCTTGGACGACCAGGTGGAAAATACAGAGTGAAACTAATAAGACTATTCCTCCAAGTACAATGCAGCACATGTCAGTAATACCACAAACTCCAGAATGACCACAGAGTGAAATCAAAACATCTCTAAAACCAGTTCAACAAAAACTGAACGTAAACCTGGTAGGGTTGGAAATCATTGCATAACTGTTAGACTTCATTAGCTGTAACTGTGCGTACCTAAAAATCGACAAGTCAAGTTTTATTTTCATCTACATGTGGGAGAGGATAGTCTAGCATGTACTGTTTTCATCTTGGTTTCCAACAAAGCAAGCCCCAAGCCAACTATAATTATCGTTCTGGACTGAAACACAGGTGTACTGTTTGGAGGCCAGACAACAAAAAGTGTATTATTTACCATCAAATACTGGCTGAAGCTGTTAGGAGCTAAGTAGGGAGAAAAAGTCCTAAAGCACATCCGGCTGCCTGCAGCAGTCATGCACACAAACAGCACTGAGTGCCAGACATGTAAAAACACGACTGTATCAAAGCATCACTGCTCTACTTGTTTCTACCAGGGGCAGTGTTTTTATGGTTAGATGATTGCGAGGGAAGATAATGAAGAAAGACCTGAACACGTGTCCATGTGTTTTAGCAGCTACAGCTGATGTAATGTGATTTTTCCTTTACATGTGAAAAAAATAAAAGGTTTTCACAGGACTCTTTGCAGTCCTGTGTGAAAAACTAAGTAAACCCTTACAGCTTCCCTAAAAATTAAGAGGATAAGCAGCAGCCAGGTGCTGCTAGTCAAATCCACTTGATGAACTGATCATCAGCAAGTGTGGGCATATCTATAAAAACAGAAGTTCTGGCAGTTTGCTGGTCTGGAGCATTCAGGTGCTTGTTAACACTCCTTCCCAAAAGTGGATGTGGATGCAAAATTACACTACAGGCCTCAGTTAGTGTGTTAAATGTTAAAGTTCAGGGCAGGAAAACTATTGGAAGGGTTGCCAGGAGAAAGCCTTTTCTCACTTAAAAGAACATGGCAGCATGGCTTATGCTGTATCTGAGTAAACCACAAAACCTCAGGGGTAATCTCCTTTGGGCAGACAACACCAAAGGAGAGATATTTAGCCATAATGCCCAGCACCGTGTTTGGAGAAAACCAAACACAACAAACACATCATGTCAACTGTCAGACACAGCGGTGGAAGGGTGGTGATTTGGAGTTGTTTTGCAGCCACAGGACCTGGTCACATAGTTGCAGTCATCCTTGAACTCCTCTGTATAACAAAGTCGTTTAGGGCAGTGTTAGTTTTTGCAGCAACCTTTGATTTAGTTTTAGACACATTTGAACTCAAATCATATTGTTTAAGTCATAATTCAGGCATCTAAATACCTTTAGTTTTAGTCCACTAATTATCACAAAACTTTGTGTGTGAAAGTTTTTAATGTTATTACCGTTGAGAGTTCCTCAATGTGGTTCAACAAGGGCCTTACTTTCCTTGACGTCCAATGTGAAATGTCTCCATATGTCTACTCTTCTCTTCCTCCAAAGGGTTGACATTTTGGGGAGCATGGGGCTAGCTGCACCATTTCCCATTAAATGTGGGTGTATTACCTGACTGCACAAGGAGATTACCTCCTACCTCCTACCTAATTATCTCCCCAAATTATTTTCATAATGTCAATACATTTCATCATATTTTGTCCTTTTACATCAGTTTTTATTTAGTTATTGGGAAACAAAAAGTAGTTGACCAAAACTATGACGAAAATTATTGATCGACGAAATTAAACCAGGTCCAGAGCCAAAGGTGAGGTTACAACAGAATGTCTGAAAAAGAAAAGACAGGAAAGAATAGCCCAGTTAAAGTCCGGACCTCAAGCACAGAAAGTCCTGTGAACAGCTTGCTTTTTCATATGAGTGTATGCAGTCCCTTCAGTCTATCTGGACTATGAATAAGGTATTCAGGTCCAGCTTTTACACTTGTGGATTCTGGGAAAAGTAATTAGCAAAAAAAGACCGTTTATGCTTTCTGTTTTAGATATCTTTAGAGGAAGCTACGGTCTAAACTGAGCAACCACTTTCTGTGTTTTTTTCATGTATAAACCCATATATCCACTGGAGTTGTAGTTTTCTCGCTTCATGAGAGGACTGTTCATGAGAGTGCTGGTGAAATAAATAAAAATCCCCCGAGATCAAATGTGAATCCCCACAAGCAATGTTCCCTCTAAGCTATCTAAGCAATTGCGCACTGCTGGCACGGTCTCTGCGCACAGAAAATCTGCGTTGCGCACAAAAAAA